AACAGGATTTTTTTTAAATAGAAATTTCTTACATTTTGAGACAATATGGTCTGATAAAGAGTACATTTATATACGTGTTTGTGCCAGAATGATTTGACATTAAAATATGATTTCCCTACAACTTTAAGCTGTAAAAATCAAAAGTGCAGCTGCATGAACTGAGCTATTGGTGAATGAATCCTTTGAACAACTCATTTTAATGTAATGATCCCAGTGATTAATTTCATTATTATTCCCATCACAAATGGTCAAAATCTTCGGGGTTTATTCTTTTTGCAGATATTTTAATGTTAGATTTGCTAATTTAATACAAAAACAGGATTTACTCAAAATCAAAGTTAATTTTCGACCAGATATCTAAAGGGTATTTTTTCACATGCTCCCATAGATTCTATCCTCCATCCACCAAAATAATCTCATAAGTGTCTGTTTGGCATCCTAGACGACGCTCACACCTCATTTTGAATTATTTACCCAACTGACATTAAAATCCATTAGTGCTACAGCTATTTAAGCACAGCATAACATCAGTTCACAGATTTTAGGGTCTACTGGCTTATTAAATAATATATTTTATAACATTTATTTTTATTTAAAGTAAATACAAATTATCCGTTTATATAATTTCTAACATGAAATCAAGATTAAACGACATTCAAGGATCTTTTTTGAACTTTTTTAGATATTTTCACTTATTAATTGTAGAGCTGCGACTTTCAGCTGATCATAGTTTTCACTCTGAGACAAACTGAGAATAAATTCCTTCGTATCTGCTGATCCGGGCTCGCTGTTACACAACCATCCCCACTGAAAAGGCAATCAATCTGGTGGGCCGCGCCGCCAGACTCGCTGCATCACAACAGCCATTACCAATCAGGCTCCGGCCTCATGCATCTCCATGGTAACTCAGCTTCCTCAGCGATGGGGAGGTGGGGACGGCAAGGAGAGGGAGAGACACGGATGAGGGGAGAAGAGAGGTGGAGGAGAGACAGAACCTACAGCTTCACTCGTTTCCTCTGCAAGGATTTAGGAAACGCCTTCCTGAGCAGAGAGGCTTCAAGCCGGCGTCTGCTTACCGACCGCTGAGCTGGAAGAACTGGGGATGTGGCACGCAGGGGGGGGCGGCTGCATGAGCTGGGAGTCTCATTAGGATTTGGATCTTCAATGGCCCCTAAGCCTTCGCTCCATGGATGTGTCCAGTAGCTGAGAGGTAAACATTTCTTACACCTGTTCCATGCTGCCTGTTGGACTCTGCGCTCTGCATGGTGGCGTTCAGGTGGAGGCGGTTTAATGTTTTGCTTGTCAGATGTGGCAGCTGTAGGGAAAAAAAGGGCAAGCGACTCACATTTCATTTGACAGGATTGAAACATGTAGTGGCTGCGTTTGTGTGTCACAGAGCGGGGCGATCGTAGCTCCCCCAGTAACAGCTGCTGTTGATGGCACAACCCTCAGACACCCAAACACCCACCGTCTGACCAACCATCTGAACTGCAAAAAAAAAAAAGGAAAGAGAGAAATGCAATTCTTAGGGGGGGAAAGTTTGCCTCAGGAAGGTTCCATTTTACAAGCTCTTATTTAGCTGGTATTACTGTGGAAATATTTATTTTTGAATCTACTGAACAGTATCTTTAAATGTATTTGTTTTTGGAGCAAATGTCTTCAGTTAAGGCGTGTATTTTTAACTGCGTCTGTCTAGTAACGATGTCCCCTGTGATAGTCTGTCATCTGTGCTGGTTTATGATTCACTCCTGATGCCAAACAGTGGGATTAAAAAAACATGATGACCAAATACGATACGTTTATGACCGCTCTGAGTCACGCTGTTTAGGAAATCTGGATTTGCAGCTGAGTTTCGTACCAGCTGGGCATACGAGCAGAATGCATTGTAAATAAAATCCCCCGTCTGTCTGTTTCTACAGTATGTGGACTTGTTGCATATGTTGTGTTAGTCACTGGGCCTGCTGGCTGGTGCGTTCTGATTAACGAATGCAGAGACAAACCAGTCAGGGGATCTTGTTAGAGCAGCAGGACTCCTCCATATGCCGAACAAGTCGACCAGATGCATCCTGGTGCATCAAACTGTGAGATTCTGCTTCCCACTCTGAAATCCTCTCCTGCGGGTTCGGCTGCGGCGATCAGAGCCTCCTCTAGATTCACTGTGGGAATAAATAGGCTGTACGCTTCTAATCTGCCTCCAGCTTTTTCTTATCATACTCCTTTTTGATATATTGTTCCTCTCTGCCTCCAATGACATGTATTTGATTCATTTTTCATGTTATTTATGGTTTTATTTTTTTTATGAAAAAGTAATTTATCAAATACAGTAAACCTTTGTGTTATATGAATAAATCCAGCAGCTTTGTGAAGGTATGGATGCAACGCGTCATGTTTTCTGGCCGATCAACGATTTTCAATCTTCTAAAAGCCTGATATGCCGATTCTAGTTTGGAACAACTAACTAACTAACTAACTAACTAACTAACTAACTAACTAACTAACTAACTTACTTACTTAAACCATCAGTTGTTATAAGAGCACAAGACACCTTTAATATTTGAATCTAATCTTACTAGGGCTGCAACTAACGATTATTTTGCAAATCGATTAATCTGTTGATTTTTCGATTAATCGATTAATAATGGGATAGCAAAAGGTTCCTTAAAGAAGATTTTTTACAAAATTAAACCAGGTGGAACTAAAACTTTTCTACTTTAAGAGTTCTGGATGGACTATATTGAGAAGGAGAAAACATTTATTGATTTCTTTTATTTTAAATGCAAAATGTTTTATATATATATGTATATATATATATATATATATATATATATATATATATTTATATATATTAATAATTTATAATAATTTGGGTCACTCTTTTAGCTAAAGACACATTTTAGAGTCTCTATACTCCATTTCATGATTAATCCATTACTAAATTAGTTGACGATTATTTAAATAATCGATTTATCACGATTAATCTGATTATTTGTTTCAGCCCTAAATCTTACTGAAGGACTTTAATCAGTACCTGTGAAACAATAAAAAATCCTCAAATATCACCTTTTAAATATTAGCATTGAGTCTGTGATTTTCAGATCCTTGCAGAAACAGAAAGGATGAGTGGAAAATATCAGTTTCACATATAAGTATCGGCCAATCATACATCTCCCAAAATGAAGGAAAAGAAAATCAATCAGTGCACCCCTAGAGTCAAGTATAGTATGAATCCATAATATAACTAACTGTAAGTAGGTAATGATATAAAGGTTATATTGTATGCCTTTACTAAGATTTTACCTTATTTTGCTATTAAGCCTTTTAGATTAGATTAGATGAGCTTTATTGATCTCACAGCGGAGAAATTCACTCGTCACATATTGGCATAGTAATTAAAGAAGAAGGTGCAAACAAGGAGGAAAAAGGTGCATTAAGAAGAATAAACAATATATATATATATACATACAGTATATCAATATAAATAAGGATTAAGGATTTTAATTTTTATTGATTTCTATTTTAACAATTTTTTGAATTACCTGAAGTTGTTATTCGCGACCAAGTTTTAGCGCCATACAAAGAGATCTATGAATCTTTTTCTTTTTTAATGGCAAAAATAAAGCCATTGTCATGATCGTTTTAACAAATCTGTCCCACATGCAGAGAAACCACTCAGATAGCTCGGAAAAACGTTTAACAGGTTTATTGAGGAAGTAATGCAGGAGTTGGATCTGGAACTCAGTGAGCTGGTAACCCGGAACTGGAAGTGAGAAGGAAGTTCAGAGGTGAGTTCAGGGAATCCAGAGAATAGTGCACACGTTGGAGGGCGGACAGGTAGACATGTATTGGACCCGGAGGAGTAGTAGAGCGGACTGTCACTCGGATTTCCGATGGGTACTTGAACGGAACATGAGGAAGTTTTCCCCTGCTCAGTGTAACTCGGATTTTCCTTCCAGGGGGGAGAAAGTCCAGGAATCCAGTTACACAGGAAAGCTTCCCGCCGGAGAGGAAAGACAAAAAACTCGTTAGACTCAGAGAAACAGCTTGGCTAGAGTACCCAAAACTGGCAAACACTCTGGCGTCGAGGTAGTGACAGTCCACTGCTCAAATACTCCTCCAGATAATGATCCAATGAGCCGCAGGTATGCAGGGAGGGACAGCGAAGACAGGGCACCCCCTGGTGGTGGAAAAAGGAAACACACAAACAGGCCACACAAACTGGATTCCTAACAGCCATAATATTATGAGAAGAAAATCGTATTAACTAGTCAAAATTATGAGAATAAGTTGTAAAAATATAAAAATAAAGTCACAGTGTTAAATTTGTTAAAATAAAACTGTAACATTACGAGTATTTTACCAGAATATAGTCATAAGATTACACAATTTAAAAAACTAGCCTACTTTAAAGTTATATGATCAAATTATGATTGTAGTTTTTTTTATTATTATACCAGTTACTCACTTTGGTTGCATGCAGCGTTTTTATGACAAATAATGTCATGCTGCTGGTGTGGTAGAAGTCATTTTTTGTATTTTGTTTTAACTCAATAAATGAATTTATGGTTTTAATGAAATCCAAATGTAACTTATTGCATTAATAAATGTTTTAACAATAAACTCCAGAAATGACGACAAGAGTTGAGCACAGGATCACTGTTTCTTACTAAATGATCTCTTTTTCCTCTCGTCTGAGAAAAACCTCCCCGCTGTCTGGTCCCTGTCAATCAATTCCATTACAGAAGGCTGAAAAGCTGACAGAGATGTATGACTTGGAGCACTGAAGACAGCAAGATTCGGCAATCCAGTCCATATCTTTGCCAGTCAGAAAAAAGAAGTAAAAGGTTTTCATTTTTGCACACATCGACATCTTTTAAAAGACGTTGCATCAAACAGTTGATGAAAGCAGCAGTTATTGACTCTATAAACAAATTCCTCAACAAAATAGCTTTTTAAAAGTGAAAATAGGTGTTTTGTATCATAAAACCTTGAGACGATCAAATGATTGCAGCTTGATTACAGAAGTTACAAACAGCTTTAGTTTGCTTAAAAGAATTAGAAAGCTTCTCAGGCTTGGAGGAGATATATCCCATATATAAGTCATCTATTTATTGGACACCTTCTTAGATTGTTTCTGTTGTATTTAGGTGATGGTTTAGTCTGTGTATGTTGTTAGTGTGGACACACGCAGAGCTTTTTTACCCATAATAACTGCTGTTACCCAAATCTCTTCTAAATGTATGTGATAGCCCTTAAAGATTTAGTTATAACATGTCATTTTGCACAAATGGTGTCTTCATTCTTTAAAATTTGATGTTTTATGTGTTTTTCCCCAAAGAAGTATCTGAATACAGGCCACCTGACAGCCTTGGCCCGGAACAAAATATTAGCCCATATGTGCATGAAGCAATTCAAACTTTCAATTGAGTTAATTACACTGTCTGTAATTAATTATTGTATCAAAAATGAATAGCATTTTAATTGAAAACCATATATTGACAAAATATACCATCTTTTCAATTAAAAAAACCTTGAATAAATTATTATATAAGGACAAAAACACATATACATTTTATTTTTAGCATTGTGTTGTAATACCCTTATATTTTATATAATTTCTTTGAAAAACTACTTATATGAAAGCAGTAACAGTAAATGAACATTAATTATAGCCCAATTTGTTCCAATATCTATAGGGTAAAAAAATATATAAAGCGACAAGGCACACAATGTTGCATGTAAATAGAAGATACGGTTTCATTATGTATTGTTTGGCTTCATTTGTTAGCCTGCAATGCCCTATGTCCATCTAATTGTCTTAAAGGGTGTTCGTTAAAGGGAATTGTTGGCCTGGCTGAATAGGAAAGGTCCTCCGCTCTCCTGTACAGGGGAGTCCCCCCATCCCTCAGTGAGGTCTCAGAACACAACTCAGCAAAGATCTTACTACATGGCAGTACATGTCATTTTGGCATTTGAAAAATTAGATGAGGCCTAGGATGATATGTAACCTACTTAAAAATTAAGTTGAAAAAAAGGTTCTTGCATTGAAAAGGTAAAAAGATATTTGCACATTTAAAAACTGATGTTAAAAAGTTAATAAGTTGAGTTAAAAGGTAAAAAATGTTGGCATTTGGCATCAGCATTATTGTTCTAACAAAACTCACAGAACACAATTTGTGTACTTGTACTCAAGAATTTGAAGAGGTGTAACTT